ACATAATTAATAATTATAATACGTGTTAAATTAATATAACCTCTGCAGAGAATTGTTATTAAGGGGGTCGGTCCATGGACGTTTTAAACAATAGTAATTATACGTGTTTAATTTCATATTCCAAAACTTTAAATAAGCCTTACTAATTGTAAACTGTTCAACAAAGTCTTTAATTAATTTTATGAAAAANAACTGTTCAACAAAGTCTTTTATTAATTTTATGAAAAATGTTTAAATATGGTTACACTTGCAGAAGTAATGCAAGATCAGAACACAAAATCTCTTGATCAGTATAATGCACCTTCGTTTAAATCGCCCACATCATGGTATACTTCAGACACAATTAATGAGTACATTAAAATGATAGTAAAACGGTCAGAAGGTGAAGTTTATGCAGTTGTCACTGATTTTATTGTAGCGTATCTTCGAGGAGGTTATCCAGCTGTAAGAAGATGGATAAAAAAAGATATTCACACAATAAAATTACTTTTTGTGCCCATGAATGTATATGAGAGTCATTGGATATTGACAGTAGTTAATATACTTGAAAAGACTGTGACATCATATGATAGTCTTAAGTCGTATGAGGGTCCCTATCCAATGGTATTAAAAAATTTCTTAATTGAATGGGAGATGGACAAAAAAGGAAAAGCTTCTACATGGACATTACAAATAGGCGAGACATCTCGCCAAACCAATGGACATGATTGTGGGCCATTTACTGTTGAGCTGGCAGAAAAAATGTCTCGAGGAGATACAACACCAATAAATGCAAATTTTATGCCTTTTATAAGATTAAGACACAAAAATGAAATTATTGCTGGCGAGCTATTCAATTAATATTTTTATGAATGAAATTTTATTTTTGTATTTTATATCAATTTTCTTAATATTCACTATAAATTGAAATTTTTATTTGTATACCACCAAACATTTTTTTACTTTTTCTATGTTTAATTGTTGTTTTGTTATTTTATTTTAATCTTATTTTTCTTTGTAACATTTCATTTAAGAAATTCAAATTTAATATAAATTTATCTTAACTGAAATAATTTAATGTTCTTGTTATGTGAATATACAAATATTATAATATACAGTTATGGATACAATTAAGTTAAAAAGTCAGCCAATTAAAATTTTTAAATTAACAAGTGTATCTACTATCTTAACAACTTAATTTTTATTTTACTAAATGACGATTCATAAAGAATTTCATAACTTTTGTTTATTTTTTAAATACTATTTTAATTATAAAAAATTCTTTTCTGTATTTTTTATGAATGTGGTATATTGAATAGGGGTAACTAAACTTATTTGTTTATAATTCTCTAAACTGATAAACTATAAAATAAATTTATAAATGAACTACAAGTTCAGAATATTTCCGTTGTTGTTATATTTTTACTACGGGTATTTTTGTTATCTAAATGACCCAATGAAATCCAAATAATTTCTAGAAATCTCTGATAAAATGTAGATAAATACGTGTCGTCGAATCCTATCAAATTATCTTCAATTTTGTTATTTATTTAAAATACCATTTATTTTTAGTAAATAAATATAATATATTATAAAAAAAAGTTTATACCAATATATTAGGCATTTTTTTTAAGTCGGGGGGTGTCCAGACATGGAGGACACCCCCCCAAAATACGCCACTGCGTTTAGCGTACTCACGAATAATGCTGGGACATTGTAAACGATCACAATCGATAAACAATGGTTAATTTATAAGATATATATACAGGGTGATTTTTTTATCATAACCCACTCAATTACTTGCAGAATAATAATAATTTAGACATTTTTTTTTTCATTATCTTTAGTTACACATTATTGTTGAATTTTTAACTATGTAATACTTTTTAAGTTCATCCCTTATGCCTTGGAAGGGGGTCAACTTTGTTTTTTTAAATGGTAACACATATTTTTAATTTAATAAAATGTTTGAGTTTTTAATTTAATAGTAAATGGCATTTGAATTTTTAATATAACTTNTAAAATGTTTGAGTTTTTAATTTAATAGTAAATGGCATTTGAATTTTTAATATAACTTAATTCGTTTATTAGATATAATCATTTAAAGTTTCAAATTTTTGAATTAATATACAGGTATAATACACAAGGGATTACAAATACAGGTAGCTAATTGGTTTTTTATAACATCGATATTAGCAGGTACACAGCATTGTTATTATCAATTGTAGTAAGGCACATTGTTATGAGTATATAAATACACTAACTGACAATACAGAAAAAATATCTATTGATAATCATAATTGATAATAAACAATCCGTGACTGAGACATTGATATCATATAAACCATTTAGCTACCTGTATTTACAATCCCATGTGTATTAGACATGTATATTAACTCAACATTTTGAAACTTTAAATGTTTATATCTAATAAGCTGTTAAATACACATTAATGTGAGGTGATTCGATACATTTAATTTAATATGAAAACACGGTAAGTGAGGGAGAGCAGGTCAGTCGATC